AGACTACTCTATACTAAAAGTTAAATAGAACTGAACAATGATTATACTTTTTTATTATATAATATTTATAATCACATATAATATATAATATAAATACATGATAATATATGGTAATATGGTTCTTATTACATAATACTATTATAATATTAACATTAATGAATAATGTTAATATAATATAAAAAATAATTAAAATGATATAATATTATGTGTTAATGTATATATATTACATAATATTATTACAATTATTATATTACAGAATGGAAGGCTAGTGGAACCAAGGGAGTACCCATATTGATAAGATTAACATATCCATCAAAGTATTAGGAAAAAATGTTAACTGAATCATAGAATTTTGGAGTTGGGTGCTCAGAGGTCATTCAGTTCAAACAGCGCATGAAAAGGGATCACCTCTGCAGCAAGTAATCAGTCAACCAAAAAAATATTCATTAAGTACGTCCTCTGTGCCAGACACTATGCTAGGCACTGGGGATAAAAGTACTAAGAATGAAACAGTCTCTCCTCAAGAAGAGCTCACATTCTAATGGGGGAGACAAGCACATATTAAAAAAAAAAAAAACAGAGCACAACACCATGCGACATAAATATAAAGTGAATCAGTACAAACAAATACAAAGTAGTTAAATACAGGGGAATTTAGGGGAGAGGGCACTTCCAGTTGAGATCAGAAAAAGCTTTGTGCCAAAGATGGTGCTTGAATTCTTAGAGGACAGGGAGCCCAGGAGGCAGAGGTTAAGGAGGTGATACAACAGTCTTGGCAAGTGGTCTTGCAGACTCTGTGTAAAGACAGAATGAGGGAATAGCCCAACAAGGCAGCCTATTCATTTCTAGACAGCTCTAACTGTTGTAAAGTCTATCCTTACATTGAATTTAAGATCTGCCATTCTGAAACTTTCACTCAGTATGCCTAAATCTTCCCCAGGGCCAAGAACTTCCCAAATACCTCTCAAAGAGGAATACATTTTAAATAGTTGAAGAAAGCTATGTATCCCTGACATATCTTCTCTTCTGCAAGCTAAGTATCACCAGCTCAAGTCAATTGTACCATTGTTCCTGAGTGGGGTATGTCAATCTACTGCCCTATTACCTCATTCACCAACCCTCTTAAAAAAAAAAAAAAACGCCTCCTTTCCTGATCACAACTTTCCTATGTCCATTGTCTCCCAATTCAAATGTAAGCTCTTTGAGAACATGGACTGTTTTTGCTTCTTTATTTGTATTCCCAGCACTCAGCTCAGGACCTGGTGCTCTCCATAGTCATTTCTTAATAAATGCCTTTTTATTTACATTACATGATCTCTAGTTCTGTTAATTCTCTCCTGGATGTAGTCTACTCTGTCAATATTCCTCCCAAATCATAACACCTAGAAAGAAACTCAATATTCTGGACAAAGACAAAGACAAAGCAGGGTGACATTCTTATCACCTTGCTCATTCTGGACAGCACATCATTATTAACATAGTCTAAGACCTGGATACCATGTTATACCATTGACTTATAATGAGCTAGAAGTCCATGCCGTACTATTGAATTATATTGAGTCCAGAGGTCAAATTTTTTATTCGTCTCTATTACATTTAACTTTATTAGGATTGACTCATCATTGCCTCTCATTGAATCCTAACTCAGTTGACCTATAAGTTAGCTAACCCCACAAACTTTATATTATTTGAATATATCATAAGCATTTCATCTATGTCTTCATGAAAGTAATAGATTAAAATGTTGAGTAGCACAGGGCCAAGGACAGAGCCTTTGGGCACTCCATTAAAACTTCCTTCTTGGCTAACATTGATCCATTAATCACTATTTTTTTTGGTCTGGTTATGTGACTATTTCTCTATCTAACTTACTTCTTTCTCCACCATGTCTATAAAGAGATTTCATGTACAGAGAAATATTTTTTTTTCCCCAAATACTCTGCTGAAATCCTAGTTTATAAACTTTCTAAAGAATTCCTCCTGGTCTAGTGGAGTGTTGTGAAAGAAATGGAGCATGGAAAGGCTTCCTGAAAAATAGAAGCTCCCCAGAGCCTCTTAGAAGGTGCCAAATTTGAATGAACAAAGAAGGATGGGTAGAGGTGGCTTGGGCAGAGAAAGTTAGATGACTCGGTTTGGTGGGTTAATTTAAAGAAAAGAGTAAAAAGTTGATTTAGTCTGTGATAGTGTTTTAAGTTAAAAGTGGAGTAATAAGTACAAGTCAATAATTCATTTCAACAAGCATTTATTAAGTGCTTACTATGTAAAAGGCATTTCACCCTTATTGAGTGTAGAGGGCATGAAAACATAACCTTGGTTATAGCACAGAAAAGCAATTAAAAGGAGTAGTGTGAGGAAAAGGAAGAAAATAGAAATCATTATAGTTTTCTAGCAATGATAATTTGTACTGTACGATTACAAAAAAAAGAGAGAAGATATTGTATTTTAATAAAGCATCATAGGCTTGGTAAAGTAACTGAACTCTCTTGGCAGAGTGGAGGAATGGGAAGTATTGTTTAGTAAATGCAAATGAACCAGTTGGAGAGGGAGGCAAGCAGTACAATTTTCCTGGAAACTTATGGAAACTTAAAATTAAATTCTGTGGGTTTTAATGGTTCCAAATGCTAGAAAGATACATGCGTGATCTCAGATCTAGCTGCAGATAAAAAAAAGAGCAAAGAGTTTCTGCTAGATAGATGTGCATATTACTTTATTAAAGAGATGGAAGGAAGGAATAAGACAACATTTTCCCAAATGGAATTAAATCTATTTCCCTTGTTTATTTTCCGCTGTTCTTCAAATTAGAAACTCTGTTACTGTACATAATGTAGAATCAAATGAGCATGGCATATTTAACTTTTAAAAATAAAACAAAATGCTTCCTTTCCTCTCCATTTAGCAACCTCAACAGGTCTTTTTAACTCTTGGAAATGACAACGTGAAATGTGCTATAGTTGCTACAGTGATATCTAAAGGAAGTGATAATAAATTATTAAAGGTGTGGGTCATACTTTGGCTGTTATCTGCATAGAATTCATTTTGTTTGTTCCTTGAGAATCAGGAAACTTCTGTATATTGTTAGTCCCAGAGTCATTCAAGGACCCGGAGGTACGCTGTGTCAAGGGCACAAATAGGTACAGAAAACTGAGGGCAATGTGCTTATAATGCTCTGCCACCGAGGTATCTCTGAAATTATGGTGGGCTTACATATATTACTTTGTGTAATAATGGGAAGAGCTTAGAGCTGGAAATGTCTTGATAGATTTTTATTCAGTAATATGCCACAAAATGTAGTTTAGATTGCTTTGTTTATTCGATGGATATTTAGTTAAGAATTAGTGATGAAATTGACCTGTGGTGACCTGATTATCCCTTGCTGAGCAGTAATATTAAGGTGACTCTTGAAAGAAAAGGGCATATAACTTCAGCGGATACAATCCTAGCAAACCATTGCATCCCTCGACCACAGTGTCCTCATAATGGTATTCTGAAGTCGTTTTTAGCCTACAGAAACAAAGCAAAATCTTTACAGGAGGAAATAGAAAGTGTATAGGAAGAAGAGAAAAGATTGCATCCTGATTAGAAATGGGCCAAGAAGGACCTTTCGTTGGGGAGGGGGAGGGGACCACGAGAACTGAACAAATTCTTTGAAGTGAGACGGGGAAAGTGTGGGATTTTAATAAAGTTCCAGGAAAAGGTTTCAAGACCTAGGGAAATCTCCTCTGGTACATGATTGGTCAGGCATAATCTTGGGAAAAGAGCCCCTGGAGAAAGCAGATGAGGGAGGACGATAGGAAGGAAGATGGGGTTGGGGGGGAGGAGGTGAAGGGTGTGGAGAGAGGAAGGGGGGCTGGAAAGTGACAGGGAGGGAGGGAGGGAGGGAGGCAAGTAAGGCTTATTGCCCAGAGGGCTTCAGAGCGGAGGAAAGAGTGTGGAAAAGTGAAAGTCCGCGAGGCCAAGTGCGGCGGCTCGCGGAGTGGGGCACTAGGGGGGCAGCTGGGCTCGCTCCAGACTCCCTTGGCAGCCGCAGGCGTTGGCTCCTGGAGGCGCCCTCCCTCCCCGGAGCATTGTTCCTTTGCCGGGAGACGAGGAAATTGCCTTTTGATTGCGGAAGTCCGTGGAAAGGGCTCAAGCTAGCGGCAGCGCGGGTCACTATGGCAGCGTGGGAAGGGCTGCGAGCTGCCTGCCCCCGCCGCCTCTCGCGTCCGCAGCCCGCCGAGGGCAGCACCAGCGGCGATAGCGGCCCCTGCCCTGGCACGTCCCGGTACCCCTCCCGGGGAAACCCTCAAGGAGCCGGCAGGCAGCCCTGAAGCTCAGGCAACAAGTGTGTCGCGCGCGCGCGGGCGGGCGGGCTGTCCGGGCAGTCTCCACGCTCGCTTTGCCATCCCTGGCTTCACCTCGCCTCCCCTCCCTCCGTGGCTGGGACTCGGGGGCCGTCTCCCTTCTTATCCCCTCCGACCAGGATAACCTTGTTCTTAAGCACTGATGGCAAAGCCGAGCTATGGAGCCGGGTTGGCCTTATGGATGGCACTGAACCTGATGCAGGTGAGTGGCAGGAGGAAGGGGCACCTGGGGATGGAGAAAGCGCCTTCCTCTCCAGCTTCCAGCCTCCGCGCCCGGTCATTCTGTGCCCCTAGACGACCACCTTTCTCCCGGGGCATCTGCCTGGGGCCGAGAAGGGCTCTGGGAGCAAAGCAGAGATGCACTCTGACAGCTCGCTCGTCCTCCCACCACCTCGCTCCTGAGCGGGCTGAGTTCACGGCCAAAGTCACGCCTCGCTCCCCATCTCCCGCGCCCCCGCCCCCAAGTTCCCCCCAGGAAAGCCGGCTACAGGGAGACGTGGCCACCTACCTGTGTTCTGGCTCTGGTTTTGTTTTTTTTTTTTTACTTATGGAACTGGTTTGGGGGCACTTGTTTTGGAAAGGAAGGGAAGGGAACCAGAGCGTCCCTAGGGAAGGCTTCAGTCAGGAGGCTTCAGCACTTGTCTCTGATCCCTTTTGCAGAGTGGCCTCGGGGAGCCCCTGAGGTGTGACATCAACCTGATCCAAGCCAAGGTCTCCAGCAGCTCTGCTAGTCTCAGGTGGAGCACAGAAGGGTCACCCTGTAACTTTAGCCTCATCTACAGCTCCGACACCTCTAGGAGCGCCCTGTGCTCCGCTCTGCAGATTGCCAACCATACCTACGAATGTAACCCCGAGGATTTACAAGCTGGAACAACCTATCATTTCAGTATTGTGTCTCAGGATGGAGATACGAGAACCATCTCCTTGCAAACAGGTAATGGGGTTACAGGTGCAGCTATCATAGTACATTCTGAAGTGGGGGAGGTGGGCTCCTTTGGTTTGAGCTTCCATTAACCCCCCCCCCAAAGAAAGAAAGGAAACGTGATCAACCACTGACGTAGGTTTCTAAATACATACTGTATGATTTTGAGAGGCTTGAGGTGTCCCGGATTCCACCCTTTTGATACTGAAAGACCGGATCTCTGAGCTTGTAGGACAGATCCCAGTGAGAAAGAATGTTAGAAGAAACATATTCAAATGATGGAGACTGGCAACTCCCATCCACTAAAACGACAAAACACCAGAATAATTTAAGTAAATATTTTTAAAGCAAATGATGAAAATGCACAGGTTGAAAGACATAGCTTTCCTCAAATTAGTATTATTTTTGGCGGTGGGCATAGAATCTTCAGGAATAGAGCAAACAGGAAAAAAGAGTGAATACTGAGATTGGAGTTCCATGAAAAGAGGTTTTTAAAAAGGATGCATGCAGTCACAGCTCAAAATTCATTTTTTTATGACTTGTCACTAAAGATCTGGCAACACCTTTATTCTTTGCATTAACCTTTTCTTAAACTTTATCTGAATGTACGCACGTATCCGTACGCCACCAGTTCCTCCTGACCATTTTTAGCATTGTCTTCATTTGCACTAATGATGAAGTTATATATCTTTTTCAGATTTAACTTGTTTTATAAATTCCAGAGAATAAATACAATGCCCAGATTACTATTTGATGTCTCCACTTGTGTAAAGTTTAGTTTCTAAACTGAAACAGATACCAAAAAATCAGTTGACCTGACCTTTGAAACAATAATGGAAATTTTAACTTTGGCTAAAGTATGCTGTCATTTTAAAACTTAGCATTCAAATCCATTTTAGTTTTAAAAGTGAAACTCCACACTTTACTATTTTTACTGCATTTAGTTCATTTCAAATAGACCTTTTAGTTAGCTTTGGAGATTTGCAAGTAAGTTAGTAAAAGAGGAGTAAATATTGAGAACTGGACTGTATTTGCACAGAGAATTAATAGCTAATACCCGAATAAACTAGATAATTCAAACTACTGTATTTTTACTCAATTAAGGGAGCTGGTCAATATTTAAGTGGAGTTCCTTGAAACTTACAACTGTCAAACACTGAGAAGTCTGTTAAATAGAATAGCTAGATATATGAAGATCGGATGAATATTTGGAAAATTTTTGTACCCAAGGTACAAGAAAAAAAATCTAGTGATATGAGAGCCTTAAGATACTTGTCTGCAGAGGAGAAGGGTAAAGTAAGTAACTCAATTATTATTATTAACTCATCAGTTCATTTTTCAAGCCTGTTTTTGGAAAATAAATGAAAGGAATGTGATAAGTTTACAAATAGTTTGAGTGAAACTTTTAAAATTTCTTGACTTCATTCAGGTGATGATATATTTCTTAAACAAAGACTTCAGTTTTAAAACTGGTAAAAATTATGAAGTAACTTCGAATGAGTTTTCTCTCTCTTTCTCTCTGGCTATCTATCTGTCTGCCTCTCTCTCACCTCCCCTCTCCTCTCCTCCCCTCCTCTCCCCTCCCTTCCCCTCCTCTCCACTTCTCTGTCTCTGTCTCTCACTTTGTCTCTCTGTCTCCCTCTGTCTCTGTGTGTCTCTCTGTTTCTGTCTCTGTCTCTGTCTCTGTCTCTCTCTCTCTGTCTCTGTCTCTGTCTCTCTCTCTCTCTCTCAGCAGCTAGGTGGTACAGTGGATAGAGCTCCAGCCTTAGAGTTAGGAGGACTTGAGTTCAAATCCAGCCTCAGATACTTGACACTTATTAGCTGTGTGACCAGGGGCAAGTCACTTAACCTCTCTCTCTCTGTCTCTGTCTCTCTCTCTCCCTCCCCAAGATGTGTAATGTCTGGAACTCCCAGTGAAAGGCAACTGCTCTACAATCTGTTGTCTTAAGAGAGCATGGTTGGGACATTAAGCGACAATTGTCTATCCTCAGGGGTCTGATTCTGACTTGCTCTCTACACTATACAGGCTCTTTATTTGGACTCAGGATATTGGTAGTATTTTGACACTGTTGCTAAATTTGAGTGAATTGCACCATAAATCATTCTTCTGTTATAATTAAGACAAGAAAAAAATTTTTTTAATTCTCCTACAAACCTTTAAGGGGACAGAAGTAAATTTAAGATTTGTACATTATATTTTGTATTAAGCAAGGAAGGCAATATGATAGAGTGGAAAAAAAAACTGGCTGTGGAGGCAGGACCTAAGTTCAGATTATGTTCCCTGATGCTTGTGACCTGCATGACCTTGGACAAGTCATCCTCTCCGGGCCCCGGTTTCTTCATCTGTAAAACCACAAAATTCTTCTAATTGACTTCTGAGGTCTTTTTCAGCTCTTCATCTATAATATAGATTTAAAACATGGGTCTAAGCATACTGTGTTATTTTCTCAAGGACACCTTTCCTCCCCTTTCCAGTTTACTTGCCTTACTATGTCTATAACAAAAGGGAACTGAAGTAAATACATGGTTTGGGTAAATATATTTAGTCTGGGAGTTTGGATAGAGGGCTATATCTGGAATCAGGAAGAATTGAATTCAAATCTGACCTCAGATTCCTTCTAGCTGTGTGACCCTGGGCAAGTCACTTAACTTCTATCTGCCTTTGTTTTCTCAGTTGTAAAGTGAGGATAATAACAGAACCTACTTTTCAGGGTTGTTGTAAGGATTAAATGAGCTAATATTTACAGAGCACTTAGCATAGTTTCTAGCACATAGTAGATATTTAATAAATGCTTCCTTCATTCCTTCTTTCCTTCTTCCCTCCCTTCCTCCCTCTCTCCCTTCCTTCCTTTCTTCCTTTTTTCCTTCCTTCCTTTTTCATTGAATTGACTAAACCACAAACAGGTTTTTGAAATTACGTAGCCAGTGTTTTTTTTAATCTGCTTAATTTGAGCTCAATCCCTTAGCAAGAATTCCCCAACAGTAAGTAGTCAGTTTCTAGTCGTGTAGGACTTTCAAACCAAACGTGACCTGACAGGTGATACAGTCTACCCCATATTTGATTAAAAATTCAATTAAATGTACCAACTATGTTTGTGAAGCACCTACTATGTGAAGGCACTCTAATTTTGCTGGGGATGGAAAGACAGCAATGAAATAGCCTCTACCATCCAGGGGCTTACGTTCTACTGGATGACTTTAACACACTCACAGATAGAATATAGATATAGATAAGAACCCCTTCTACAACATACTTCAAACCTCCAGCAAGAGAGAAAGCATTACGTTCTCAGGCAGCCCATCCTATTTTTGGACAAGTCTAATTACCCACAAGGTTTTCTTAGATGAAACTGAAAGATGAATCTCTTTAATTTTAACCCATTGCCCCAAGTTCAATCCTCTGGGCATGAAGCCGAGCAAGTTTAATCCCTCTTCCAGGTGACAGTCTTTCAGGCACTGGGAAGACAGCTATTATCTGCTCCCCCCCCCCCCCCCCCCGGCCGCCATCTCCTCTGGGCTAAACATGCTCTTTTTTAAACTTTTTTTTTTTGGAGGGGGGAAACAATCGGGGTGAAGTGACTTTCCCAGGGTCAAACAGCTAGTAAGTGTTTGAGGTCTATTTTGAACTCAGGTCCTGACTCCAGGACTAGTACTCTATCCACTGTGCCACCTAGCTGCCCCAACACGTTCATTTCTACAGCTCATGTGGAAAGATCTCAAGGCCCTTCAGTATTCCCAGGTGCCCTACTCTAGATGCTCTCCAGCTTATCACCATCCTTCCCAAAAGGTGTTATCCAGAACTAAACACAATTCTCCCGATGTGGCCATACATGGGAAATCAGAACCAAAGGACTTATCTGCAAGGGAAGGAGAAGGTGAATGGACAAGAAGAGCTTTACTAAGTCTCCGTCTCATAGGGTTGCTATTGTTGTTCAGTCACTTTCAGTTATGTCCAACTCTTTGTGATTCCATTTGGGGTTTTCTCCACATACATACTAGAACGGTTTTCCATCTCCTTCTCCAGCTCATTTTACAGATGAGGAAACGGAGGCATACAGGGTTAAGTGACTTGCTCAAGGAATCTAGAATAGGGAGGGGTCTTAAAGATCATGTAGTACAAACCTTTCATTTTATCAGTGAGTGAGGTGAGGCCCAAAACATGGTGGCAAGGCAACCAGTCAGTCCACAAGCATTTATTAAGCATCTACTATATGTCAGGTACTGTGTGAAGCACTAGGAGATACAAGGAAGGCAAAAAACATGGCCCCTGCCCTCAAGCAGCTTTCATTCTAATAAAGAAGACAACATGAAAACAACTATATATATATATGTATATGTATATGTACACTTACATGCAAATATATCCACATATATACCTATATACATATATATTAATATATATATTCTACCAGCTTCATTAAAATCAATTTCATATCAATAAGTATTTTTGCATGAAACACAGAGATATATGTATGTGTATATACATATATGTATGTGTGTGTGTGTGTGTGTCTGTGTGTGTGTTCTAGGATAAATCTCTCTGATCCTAAATTTCTGGGAATTCCATTTTGGTGTGGACATTGACATGCTGGAGAATGTCCAGAGGCAGGTGTTCAGGATGCTAAAAGGACTTGAGGATGTGTCATAGGAGGATCAGTTGAAGAAATCAAACCAAGACCATGTGCAGAGCTTATGATAGCTATCAAAAAGCACAATCAGACTAATTCTGCTTAGCCCCAGAGAGCAGAAGTGTGAACAATAGGTAGGCCTGGTATAGGGGTTAAGGATGGGGTCTGGGACTGCTGGCAAGGGAATTGCCTCTAGTCCAGCTCCTTTTCTTCAACTTAGAGTCATAGAAAGTTGCCAAGAACACAGAGAGCTTAAGTGACTTTCCCAGGGTCACACACTAAATAAATGTAAGAGGAGAGACTTGAACTCAGGTCATCCTTCCACTTCCCCCTTCTGTGTTGTCTTCCCCAATTAGAATGTCAGCTCCATGGGGGCAAGAACTA